CCAGTGGGGGCGAGGGAACCGGTGGTGGCAAGGGAACCAGTGGGGGCGAGGGAACCGGTGGGGCGAGGGAACCAGTGGGGGCGAGGGAACCGGTGGTGGCAAGGGAATCAGAACCGGTGGTGGCGTGGGAACCGATGGTGGCAAGAGAACCATTGGTGGCGAGGGAACTGGAACCGGTGGTGGCGAGGGAACCGATAGTGGCGAGCGAACTGGAACCGATAGTGGCGAGGGAACTGGTGGTGGCGAGGGAACTGGAACCGGTGTTGGCAAGGGAACCGGTTCTCGACGTCACCACCGTTTGTGACGACAGATACGTATCTCCCCACGAGCTTCCCTCCGTCTCCAGGACTCTGCTCTCTCCGGAGTAATTCTCAGGTGATACGGAGACTTTGGGTTCGCCGGTTTTGGTTTTCTGCTCAGGTTTTTCGGTCACCACGACCCAATCTCCTAATCTCTGTGCAGGTCGACCCGTGTGGTCGTCGTCCGTGGTGTTCGGCACGATTGATGTCGGCACGTCCGAACCTCTGGATGTGCTTAATTTATCAGTGACGGATGAAGGACGAGACAGCCATGATATCAACCCTGTGAAGACAAACACGAGCTGTGATTACTGTGGTTCTCGGATTCATTCCTCCAATCTTGTGTTTCTTGTGTCTCGAGAGAGCGGTGAACTGTCTGCCAGACTTTCCCATTACTTATTCACTTGACCCTTACTCGTCTAAGACTTCAGGCTGTTAGTGGTCAAGCATCACTACTACTGTTGCTCATTTTTAAGACCAGTTATCTGAATCAAACTTCAGCATGTAACTCAAGTTAACTCAACTCATTTGTCAAGTTATGTGTTTTGTTGAGGTGATCAAATGCACTATTTTTCCCACTAAAGGCAGGAATACTACACGACTTTTATAATCTGAACAGATTTTAAAGCACTAGGCATCATGCAGTCTTTCTTTAAATGCTTATAGAGGACAAACTGAGAGGCATTCAGTAAACGACACACAAACTCAAGCAAAAACACGTTGCTAGGAGACGCATGACAAACGAAAACCATGTGTTCTAAAAACGGCTCAAAATATCAAGCGTGTTTGAAGTCTGACTGGATGGAATTCAGGTTTGATTTTCTGTGAAATCTGTCAACTCAAATCTGCAGACTGGCGATTGGGCATTGACTCAAATTGGGGCAAAAATCTGGGCAAAAGCATCAAACTAAAACTATTAAAAAAGTAGGTTTTGTTTATTAAAATAAAGCAGAAATAAAAAAAAATATTAGATAAAAAACTTAAAGAAAGACAAAAAGAAAGAAATGTTAAAAGATAACTTAAATTAAAACTAGTTGAAGCACAAAAATGACAACTGAAATAAAAACACCCAATGAATATACAAAACAAAAAAATTAATAATAATAATTAAAGCTGCAAGCAGCATTTATCGGTGTTCAAGCAGTTCAGGCCTTTAAGCACAAAAGCATCAAAAGGCATTCAATTTTATTTAACATACATTTATCCACCGACATAATAGACGGAAAACACCATTTACAGCCAATACAGGCAATTTACCATTGGAAATGCATGGTTTTAAAGCTTTTTAACAGTTATAGCGCCACCTATGGTCTGATCTCCATGAAACGGTGCATGCTTCTTTAACATGTTAAGAGACATGCTCATCAATTTTTGTGAAGTTCTGAGTTTTCCGTCAGGATTTATAGGCTTTTTGGTGCATTTTGCCACGCCCCTTTTCAAAATAGCCATTTAACACCATGAGCAAAATAAAAAAGTTCAACTTTTTTTTTTTGATAATTATTGATCTAGATAGTCCAGAGAATAGGCCTAGACTGGTTTGGTTCCGATCTGGCAAAAACCAGGGACTATTATAGCGCCACCTATGATCCGATCACGAAACTTTGCCCTTTTTTTTGGCCTTAAATGCAAATCCGAGATATACATCTTGTCCGTCTTGAGCCAGGGATTACAGTGGATTACTAAGTCAAACGGTCTAGGAGTTATAAGCAATTTAGTACGTTTGGTTGCTGTAGCGCCACCTACAGGCCAATCGTGCTCATACTCTGATAGGTTCTCCTCAATTTGATTTTGAGACCCTACCATCTGGCTGAGTTTCAAGTCTCTAGGCCTTACGGTTTGGGCTGCACGATGCGTTTTAGGGGATTTTTTTTTCTTTCTAGCAAATACAATAGGTTTTTTGAATACCTAATAAAATAACTAATTCAAATGACTAATAATTACTATAATAGTACATAAATAATACTGAAATAACACTGATTCTTTATTAAAACATAGGACATTAAAACTTTGCACAATATAATATCACAGCAAGAAGAACTAGCTGATGGATGAAAAGCAACGGGTATTTTACATCAAATGTGATTTTATAAAAAATAAAAAAAAACAAGCTAATCCAAAACCTAGTGAGCTGCCTTGCTTCGTTGTTATTATGTTTTGATTGATACTGTAAAGCTGCTTTGATGCAATCTCTATATTGTGAAAAGCGCTATATAAATATACTTGGCTTGACATAAGCACATGGCCAGTGCTCATGTCAATCTCGCATAGCTAGAAGCTAATAATCTAAGTACGCCTGCAGGCCAAATGCTCGCGGCTTCATTTGTGTACTTGTTTCTGGCCTGAAGCAGCATCCTAATGGATGAGTGGTCTGAAATTCTCCACATAATAAACTAAAATAACAAATATTGGGGAAATAGTATTTCTTAAATGCAGTGTAGGGAGGGAGCGCAGTAGGCCTGATGTATAAATGTTATGTTCGCACATTTCAATGCCCTTTTTGTGCATACGCAATGTTTATACATCGTTTGCACGCACATATTGGGATTTATAAAAAATAAACTTAGTGTAAATATGTGCACACCATTCACACACTCTAGACTCTTATACTGGAGTGAGCAAAGTAATGAAGTAAACCATGATTTAAAAAAATGTATTTGTATATATATATGAAATTCATATTCTCATTAACCCTCTGGAGTTGTTCGGCCCAAATGGACCCGAAGAATCTAAATAAAATGTTTTTAAAAATCACAGATTCCTCGGAATGGTCCAAAATTTGGTGACTTTGTTGGTATTTGGTATTTGAACACCCAAAAAATTGGGGACAGGATGTGAATAGTCTAAGTGGTTGTAAAAAAAATAGTCACACTTGGAGTGTTCGGGTCCAAATGGACCCGCATGGAAAATGAATGGGAAATTGGCAAAAATGTGAAAATACTAGTACTAAATATTTACTAAATACTAAATAAAGTTTTTTTGTGCGTACAATCTACAAATCAGCCACGATCTTGAACAAAAAGCACACAACAGTGAAGGGGTGAATCTATAAAACATCAAGAGTGCAAAACAGACACATCCAGACACACACAAACACACTTTTATACACAAACACACCAAAAAAATTCAGATTATACATGTGTTTTGCATTTTTTTAAATGCTCAGTTTGTCCACCAGATGGCATCCATCTCATTTCAAAAATTGCTTTTATGAGGCCTAGGCTTGACTCTAAAATGAAATACAGCTTTAAAAAAATTTTTTTACAAATATTTTTTCTATTATGTTCAATGGGGGGAAATTTTGTCATAATTATTGCATCAATACTAATTATAAAAAAAAAATATTTTTGAAATTTTCTCAAAACACCAAGACAAAAAAGAAAAAAATATTATAAAAAACGAGTAAAAAAAAAAATCATGATTTTTTTTTTTTTTAAATATGAATCCCGCCCTTTGGGTCCATTTGGACCCGAACACCCCGAGTGTGACTCTGAAACGAACAACCCCAGAGGGTTAATGGAGTCAACCACTCAAATGACAAATTACAAACAAAAATGTATGAATTTAGATTTGTTTAGATTGTTTTGTTTGTCAGTGACAATTCTATTTGCTACAATTGTACAATTTTCCGCCGACTGGGTTTTATAAAGGGAATTCTGCGCAGATTCAAGCTTTTGTGTGTGTATACACTTTCAGGATGAAATTACTGGAACCTTTTTTACATGAGGTCCCATGTATATTTGGTATATCAGCAGAATAAACCACACAAAGTATTCAAGCGTACAGTTAGCGTACATGAGTGAACAGTGTGGTAGCAGATTTCTGGCTTTCAACCCTCAATTATGAAGCTTCCACTGGGAAATTCTGCCTTCGTGGAAAATGGACTTTAATAATGTAGGCGACAGGCCTAAGTTTCCATTTGACGTTAAACATTAATGCTGTCGGGTTCAGTTTGGACCAGACAAGGTATCTGTATTAATGAAGGCAGAAAGGACACTAACTGAAGCATAATCTTGAAACTTTAACGTTCAGGCCTCCTCAACACATTTTTTAAATCATATGTCATACAGATAAATACTTTTTAAAGTCTCCATTAAAGTTGAATAATTGTATCCCTTAAAACTCATCTTTGATCACCAAAATTACATATTTAAAAGTTTTTTCAATGCCTTAAAATATCTTGAATGTAACTCGACACCCTCGCCTCATTTAGTATGTGCGGTTCTATGAATATGCAAATGAGCCACTGGTTGACGATCAAACGTTGATCTGATTGGTTAAAGGCCGTTTGTGACGTCAGAAACACCAGCGATTTCAAAGCATGTTTTTTTGTTTTAAGCAGAAAACACTCAGTCGAGTAGGTTTGTCTAAAAGACACATAAACAACATTAAAAGCTGGATTTTCACCTCAGGAGGACTTTAAAATCGTCAGTAACGCTCTGTTTACTTCCTGTCCCTCCTTCTGAAAAGCACACTGTGCTCTGATTGGTCGGCTGGATCAGTGTGTTGTGATTGGTCGAGAGTGTGTTTTCGAAATGCCCCGCCCCTTTCCATAACCGCACTACTGACTAACTCAACCAGGCCCCGCCCCTTTATCCTGAATATTAATTATTCAAATGAGGAATATTGTGACGTGTTGAAACACTGAGCTCACAACATTACACACTAAACACAGACGAACATGGGAAGAAGCATACTAGTCACCTGACTCACGAGTTGCAGTGGTTTGCGTGTCCATCACAGGCGTGGTCACACTCGCCTCCGCATCACTTCCTGTCAAGTAGCTCCAGGGTTTCCACAATGAGCTGACGATGTTGTTGAGGGAACTCTTGCCCTTTCCTTGAGGAGCTGTAGGACTGACAGACTGACCGGACAGATCTTCATCCTCTTCCTCTGTGGCCGAGCCTCCAGGACCCGGATCTGACCCCGGAGCCGGAACCACCTGTTCTCCGTCCGGGAACGAGTCCAACTGTCCACTCCAGTCCAAATACGTGTCTCCAGCCCGGAGCCGGGCCGTCAGATACTCGGCGGAGAGCTCGGGGGCTTCCATGTGCAGATCCAAATCCTTGTCCAAATCCACCTGTCCGGTCCAGTTAGAGGGACGAAGGTCGGGAAGATCCGACTGTGCGTCTGGAACACAGTCAGAGAGGAGCGTCATTACCTTTACTTTACCTTCAAAATATGACATCACATTTCCATTAGGATAGTTGAGATTGAACTCGCTCTTTGCATGGAAAGTAAGAGAAATAACTCATTTCAACAACATGGCATATCATTATCATTTTTAAAAGTCTCTTCTGCTCACAGAACCTGCATTTATTCGATGAAAAATACAGTAAAAACAGGAATATTGTGAAATAATATTCTAATTCAAAATATCTGTTTTCTACGTGAATATAGTAAAGTGCAATTTATTCCTGTGTATTTTCAGCATCATTACTCCAGTCTTCAGTGTCACATTTAATCACTCTAATATGATGATCTGATGCTCAATAGGATCTTTAGTAACATTTGAAATGTCTTTACTGTCACTTTTGATCAATTTAATGCAGCCTTACTGAACGAAAGTATTCATTTATTTTGATATTTAAAAAAAAAAACTAGGTGGAAAGGTCGATGTAACATTAAAGGAGTAGTTCACTTTAAAAAAAAAAACTTTTTTTACTCGCCCCCGTGTCATTCAAGATGTCCATGTCTTTCTTTCTTCAGTCAGTTTTTGATGAAAACATTCCAGGATTTTCTCCATATAATGGACTTCAATGGGGTCCAAACGGTTCAAGGTCCAAACGAGAGTTTCAGTGCAGCTTCAAAGGGCTTTAAACAATTCCAGACGATGAATAAGGGTCTTATCAAGCGAAACGATCGCTCATTTAAAAAAACATGAAAAGTTTAAGTTTTATAAGCTCATATGTTCGCCTTGCTCTGTTCTGTGATGCGCGTTCGTGACTCTCCTGTTCGAACTCGTTCAATCTCAACTGGTTCATTTCGTTTGTTGAATGAACCAAATGACACGAAAAAAGATTTGTTCATTTTAACAGGAGAGTCACGAATGCGCATCACAGAACAGAGCAAGGCGAACATTTGAGCTTATAAAACTTAAACTTTTCTTTTTTTTTTTTTTAAATGAGCGATCGTTTCGCTTGATAAGACCCTTATTCATCGTCTGGAATCATTTAAAGCCCTTTGAACAGTTTGTAGTTTGCACTGAAACTGTCTTTTGGACCTTGAAAAAGTGAACTACCCTTTAAGTTTTGTATAAATTCTAATTTACTGCAACTTAACTTCTAAAAATGTGCAACATCACTTTGCTTGGGGATACATTTAAATATGCAGCATTGATTAATCAATCAAAATATTAACAAATGTTTGCAAAGTCATTAAAAAAAAAATCTCTTAAACTCTCATCCTGTTCTATAGAGAAGATGAATAACGAACCTGAAAATCAAAGTGATGACTATTTTTTATGCAAAAACCTTAAAAGCGGACATATAAGGTAAAATATGCTCCCTTTACCAATAACAAACAAGACGTTCTGAACTCAGTATAGTGACTGTGACTGAACCCCCTGAGTAATGAGTGTGTAAATGAACTGTACCAGCGGCGTCGTCTCCGGTCATGTACCTCCACGGTCTCAGTAAGGACTTCACGATGCCCGTCACAGCCTTCTGCGGTCTCTTTGCTGTCGACGGATTCAATTCAATTACTGCAGTTTCTCTCTCTAAACACATTACTCAAGTGGTAGAGCATATGCACGCGACGTCAAGGTCACGGGTTCGATTGCGGGGTCTTGTCAGATCAATAAATCTCTGTGTACAGTCAAACGTCTAAGGGTACACTACATTCAGAAGGACATACCATCTACATCTACTGTTTAATAAAATGCATTATGCAATGTGTGTATTGTGCAAAATTGGGAAGTATATAAAAATGGTGAAAGATATTGTCTCATAAAGCAATGCATTTGACTTAAAGGATTAGTTCACTTTTAAAAAACTTTTGCTGATGATTTACTCGCCCCCATGTCATCCAAGATGTCCATGTCTTTCTTTCTTCAGTCGGTTTTTGATGAAAACATTCCAGGATTTTCTCCATATAATGGACTTCAATGGGGACCAAACAGCTCAAGGTCCAAATGAGAGTTTCAGTGCAGCTTCAAAGGGCTTTAAACGACACCAGACGATGAATAAGGGTCTTATCAAGCGAAACGAGCGCTCATTTAATAAATAAATAATAAAGTTTAAGTTTTATAAGCTCAAATGCTCGCCTTGCTCAGTTCTGTGATGCGTATATTTGTGCATTTGTGCTTATAAAACTTGAAGTTTTTTATTTATTTTTGAAATGAGCGATGGTTTCGCTTGATAAGACCCTTATTCATCGTTCTGGAATCATTTAAAGCCCTTTGAACAGTTTGTAGTTTGCACTGAAACTGTCTTTTTGACCTTGAACCATTTGGACCCCATTGAAGTCCATTATATGGAGAAAAATCCTGGAATGTTTTCATCAAAAACCTTAATTTCTTTTCGACTGAAGAAAGAAAGACATGGACATCTTGGATGACATGGGGGCGAGTAAATTACCAGCAAAAGTTTTTTTAAAAGTGAACTACTCCTTTAAATAATAAAAATGAGATCCTTTTTAAAGGGTACCATCCCAGTGACCGCTTTCGCAGCATTTGTTTTTTGTGTGTACCTCGATAGCAGAACGCATCAAAGCGAGCGGATCCGTTTCTCAGCTCTGTTGATGGAACGGTTGTGACGCCCGGTTCTCCTCCGGGACACTCGGACCGAAGCGCTCTGACCGACCTCACGCTCCCGTCAGACACCCAGCCCGGCTCACAGTGGTCCAGGCCGGATGTCCAGGCCAGCGAGAGCTGCCCTACGGTGGCCAGCCGGGCCCCTGAGGACTCGCAGAGAGCAGAGGCCGAGACACGGGTCAGTCCATCCGGGACGGAGACGGGAAACACCTCACCTGGAGGAACACAGGACCAGGACAGGTGTGAGGGAGACGAACTCGTGTCACAAGAGTTTAAAACACACGGCTAACACTTGGGATCAGTGTTAATCTTTATATATTTATTTTCATGTTCATTTTAGTAAAAAAAAGATTAGTCATTTCGTTATGAGCTTTTGTCAAGTTTCATTTTAGTTTGTGTTTATTCCCATTTAAAAAATGTAAGTGCTTCAACTTAAACTTATTTCTGATTTCCGTTAGTTTAAGTTTTTCAACTAATATTTGTATTTTATTTTATTAACAGAAATCTATTTTATAGTTCAAGTTAACGATAATAACCCTGGACTTGGATGTACATCACAATACAATAAGGTTCTTTAGCTAACATTAGTTAATGTATTAAAGTGTTATTTCACCCAAAAATGAAAATTATGCATTCATACTATATATACACACAATTATTTATTTAGTACATTGTATATTGTGTAGTATATTTAATTAATAAATATTTAAAATATATTTTTAATGTATAATACACAATTATTATAATAAATAAATATTTAATATATGGAATTAATACATAATATATATATATATATATATATATTAAACGTATAATTAAGTATTTAAAGTATACTTGCCTTGTATTTGTTTTAACTCTTTTGATCGAGTAGCCTATTAAATAGTTACATAGTTTTTCATATACAGGTCCTTTTGAATGCTAATTTTTGAGATTTTGGGTTTTCACGAGCTGTATGCCTAAATCATCAGTATTAAAACAGTAAAAGACCTGAAATATTTCAGTTGGTGTGCAATGAATCTAAAATATATGAAAGTTAAATTTTTATCATTACATTATGGAAAATAATTAACTTTTTCACAATATGCTAGTTTTTTGAGAAGGACCTGTATAGTCTTATGAAATAGTAAGTATAATGTTAAGTTCACTTAAAAAAAACTTGTAGTATTGTATAAAACTACTAAACTAGTAGTTTACTGAGAGTATACTTCAAAATGTACTTTAATAAACTAAAGATTTGCTGCAAGTATTAAAATAGTAAATTAGTATATACCCATAAGTTATTAAAGTACATTGTTGTGTAGTATATTTAATTAATAAATATTTAAAATATATTTTTAATGTATAATACACAATTAATATAATAAATAAATATTTAATATATGGAATTAATACATAATATATATATATATATATAAAATTATTATTATTATATTTCAATATAGTATGCATAATTATATATTAAATTATGTTTCTAGTACATAGTATATATTATTTAGCACATTTATTTATTTGATAAATAAATAATATATAATATTAAAAAATTATATACAATCAGTATAACAAATAAATGAATAATGTAATATTATATATACAATTATGTATTTAATACATAGATTACTTAATAAATAATATACTACATTATATACTATTCAGTAAAAAAATAATATACAATTAAAATAATATGAATTAATAATAATAATAATAATTCATAAATAATATACTACATTATATACTATTTAGTAAACAAATAAATATTTAATATAATATTAATACATCATATACAGTTATTATAAAATACATAAATGATAATTACAAATATTTATAATAATAAATATAGTTAGTTAGTTAATTAGTTAGTGTTTCAAAGCAGTATATATAAATACAACTCACCTTGCATGTCATTGGCGAAACAGTAAACGTCAAACAACTCCGAAGGGTCCCGTTTCCCATAATTCCTCACTCCACGAGAAAACTCAGTGTGTCCAAAGCATCCGAGCTCCGGTGTCTGTACGAGATACCTGTGGAGAGCAGACACACATCCAGATCAATCCGAGCGCAAATATAGTTTTTTTTCTTCCATTTATTCGTTCTTATCTAGCACAGTTGATCTAAACACTTTATTTGTCTTATAATACGCATTTATTTTTAACTGATTTGCTCACCGACTCCCAAATGATTCGTACAACGACTCATTTTTCCAAACCACTCCTTTGCGTGACGCTAATCGGCGGTGAAGCTGCTGTGAAACTAGCGCTGTATAGATGAAGCTGACTGGACATGTGTGAGATACGAGTGTGTGTTGCTGACCTGACGCTCTGGTCATTGAGCCAGCCGGCCTCACAGTTGCTCATGCTGGAGTGAAACGCGGCCCACAACTGCTCAACCGAGGCGATCTGAGCCGAGTTATCCTCACACGCTGCGACGGCCTCCGCATACGACAGGGAATATCCATCCACAGGAGAGCGGTAGTGAAACACCACACCTGAGAACACACACACACACACACACACACAGGTCATGAACGGAGAAACAATTTCAGTGTATCAGTAAGATCGCAGGAAGTAACATTACTGTACTGAACGTGTCTGGAAGTGTGTATTATAAACAATATCGCGATTAATCGCATCCAAAATAAAAGTTTTTACATAATACATACAAAATTATATAATGTGTTTACATAACATATGTGTGTGTGGTGTGTATAATTAATTTGTATATATAAATACACACACATGCATGTATATATTTAAGAAATATTTGCATGTATATACTTTATATATATTTATACATAATTAATATTATATAAAATATAAATATTTGATATATTAATAGCACAAATTAATTATGCACACCACACACACATATATTATGTAAACACAAACTTTTATTTTGGAATGCGATTAATCGCTATTAATCGTTGCCCATCCCTAGGATGAGTGATAAGTTACATCCTACTTTTTGTTATCCTGGAACAGTCTTTTGTGTTCATTTCATGTCTCATATATGTTGTCTAATTGTTAATTAGACGAAAATGAAAATAAAGCCGAGCTAAAGTTAGATGGGAAATGAGGGGAATTGGGGAAAAAGCTCAAATGATATGATATTGACCGTGTGAGTCGATGTGCTAATTCGTTCACAGCAGACTCTGAGATCTGATCTGAGAACTGATGTTCTGCTTTAAGATGTGGTCACGTTTCCTAACGAGCTTGACTCGCTCACTGGGGATTTAAGATTTCATTTTCTTTTAATTGAACTGCTAACTGAGCGCCTTACATTATTATTAGTGTTACACTTTACTCATCTGAAACAATGTCTATTGGGAAAAGTGCCATATAAATAACATATTACAAAAATTACAATATTTTATAAATATTAAAAACAATCGGTCATTTCGTTGACTCGAAAAAAGATTCGTTCATTTTGATCAGTCACCGAACAGAGCAAGCCGAGCATTTGAGCTTATAAAACTTAAACTTTTTTATTTATTTTTTAAATGGCCGCTCGTTTTGCTAGTTAAGACCCTTATTCATCGTCTGGTGTCGTTTAAAGCCCTTTAAAGCTGCGCTGAAACTCTCATTTGGACCTTGAACCGTTTGGACCCCATTGAAGTCCATTATATGGAGAAAATCCTGGAACGTTTTCATCAAAAACCTTAATTTCTTTACGACTGAAGAAAGAAAGACGTGGACATCTTGGATGACATGGGGGTGAGTAAATTATCAGCAAAAGTTTTTTTAAAAGTGAACTACTCCTTTAATGTTAATTTGAGCATTTACTAATGGATTGATAAAATCAAAGGTTGTGTTTGCAAACTAACATGTTTTCTATTAACTAATCTTAGCAAAGATGAATAAATACTGAAACAAATGTATTAATACATGAACTACAGTAATGTTCGGATCTCACCTGTGATTTCCAGGTTGACGGTGTCCTGCTCATAACTGTCCCCCAGAGCGACGTGGCATCGGAAGGTCCCGGAGTCGTCGGAGCGGAGCTGATTGAGCGCCAGCGACGCGTTCAGGTGGTTGTGGGAGTATCCGGGCAGACTGATCCGACCCGCGTACGCCTGGTGAACCCGGACCACCCCGTCCCGGGCCGACAGCACCGTCCGCTCCTGGGCTCCTGAGCCGCGGGTCCAGTGGATGTAGGGACCGTGTCCCGGGACGAGGGCCGGCGTCAGGGTGAACACACACGGGAGGAGCGCAGACTCTGCCAACTGCCGACGTACGGGAGGATGGGTCACTCTCCGCACCGTCACCAGAGTCTCGGCTTCAGTCACGCCTGCCGGACAGGAGAAACAAATCAACAGGGTTAAAAAAAACTTTAGCCGATAATTTACTCACCCCCATGTCATCCAAGATGTCCATGTCTTTCTTTCTTCAGTCGGTTTTTGATGAAAACATTCCAGGATTTTCTCCATATAATGGACTTCAATGGGGACCAAACGGTTCAAGGTCCAAATGAGAGTTTCAGTGCAGCTTTAAAGGGCTTTAAACGACACCAGATGATGAATAAGTGTCTTATCTAGCAAAACGAGCGCTCATTTAATAAATAAATAACAAAGTTTAAGTTTTATAAGCTCGCCTTGCTCTGTTCTGTGATGCGCGTTCGTGACTTTCCTGTTCGAACTTGTTCATCAAAATGAACGAATCTTTTTTTGAGTCATTTCGTTCATTTCGAAAAAAAAGATTTGTCCGTTTCTGCTCTGAAACTGTCTTTTGGACCTTGAACCGTTTGGACCCCATTGAAGTCCATTATATTTCGACTGAAGAAAGAAAGACGTGGACATCTTGGATGACTTGGGGGTGAGTAAATTATCAGCAAAAGTTTTTTTTTTAAAGTGAACTACTCCTTTAGTTTTTTTAATTATTTTTTCAACAGAATGGTCCGAAACTTTTTAGCACTTGCTGTGTGAATGCAAAAAAAAAAAAAAACATGGCACGAACAGGTTAAATGGTCCTGAAAAAAATGAAAAATAGTATTTTTACACATTTTCATAACAATAAACGTAAAATTCTGTAACTTTTTTGGTTCACTTTTTAAAACTTTTTTCACGTCAGTAATAATCTGCAAAGTGTTTGAAAAGAAATCAAAGTTCAGTCTGTGTGCTAAAGCATTCAATATTACCACATTTTCAGGTCTATGCTCAAAAAGGGAATAAAAAGGTTGATTTAAAAAGATTGTTGAATTTTTTTCTTCATCGGAATTGGAACTTGGTAAAGATTTCAGCACTTGCTGTGTAAATGCAAAAAGAAAAGAAAAAAAAATCATGGACATGATTTGAACAGGTTAAATGGTCCTGAAAATAGTCACACTTGAGCTCCTCGCGGTCTAAAGCGCATTAGAAATGAGACGAGTTTCCTCTAGTGGAAGCGTTTGGTACTGCAGCCGCACACATTCTCACTGAAAGCTCATTTTTTAAGAATAAAAAGCTAAAATTTTGACCTTGTTTAGATTCATGGCTTTGATTTTCTCACAGTTTAAGAGTAAAACATGTTTTTGAAAATATATATTTCATATAAGAATTTAAAATAGGATTTTCATAACAATAAACATAAAATTATGCAACTTTTTTCACTTCAGCAATAATCTGCAAAGTCTTTAAAAAGAGATCGAACTTTAGACTGTCTTCTAAAGCATTCAAGATTACCACAGTTTAAGTTGGAAATTACATTTTCAAGCTCAAAAAGAGAATAAATGGATTATAAATACAGCATAAATATAATTTAAATCCCCTAAAAATACAAAATATTAATTAAAAAAACATTATCAAACTAAAATATGGTCAATTAATTGCAATTTTTGACGGACACGTACCTGAGGGTTCATTTAAAGCTGAAATCTGCAATGTTTACTGAGTTTAAATCATGTGTGTGTCTTAGGTTGATAGAGGATGTGTGTGTGACGGACAGAGAAACGTGGATTTGCAGTTTCATTTCGTAAAATCATTCCCTATATATTTTATTGACTCATCAGTTAAATATTTACTAATCGTATATTCTGCATAATTGGATGTTTTTAAATAAACACTGAGGAAAAACCATACAAGTTTTAGGACTGGACGATATGATGATATAGTTTAAGTTAACGATAATAACCCTGATTTAACAATAACCAATAACCTGTGCAGTCCAGATGATGTCAGATGAAAAGGAAAGTATAGTTTCATTGGTGGGGAAAGTTATTATACTTTCTCTTTTATTTTTCAGATATAACAAACAAAGGAAATACAATTCACTCATGAAATAGTCAAATCTAGCTCCCGTCCATACAAACAAACCACCCGAAACGTATTATATTTTGATGAAAGATTATGACGACTACTTTGGAAACACATGCACTGATGAATCATTCACAAGAGCGTGATTCAAGAAAGCAAATCGGGACTATTTTATTTCGATTTCAGAAGAAAAGTCCAGTTCACTGCTCCTCGGGTTATCACAGCACACGTCTCCTCAAGAGTCAAACACAGAAAACACATAAATAATATGTGTTGTTTTCTTCTCCATCTCAACACACTTCATTAAAACAGACAGAAACTCTCCAAACACTTCAGAGGTGAGAGAGGAAAACACACAGACGCTCTTTGAAGCTTCGCCTCTCAAACTGACACTCCAGTGATTTTGTTGTTTTATAAGAAAAGAAAGATATTCTACAGTCAAACTCATTATATTCTCTCACTGTCACGGACTGCTTGTATGAACTGGATCTCAGTCTCAGTTCATGTGCATCTGAAGGTTTTTAAAGGTATATATAAGTGCAGTCTCTACTTCATTCCTGTTTCACTCCAGTGTAGATACAGTCTTTAAAAAGCCCCTATTATGAGGTTTGATATAGGCATTTATATGGAAGCTTGTTTCCGCCACTGAATTAAAAAAAAAATCAGAATTGTGAGAAATAGTCGCAATTGCAAGATATAAAGTCGAAATTCTGAGTAATAAAGTTGCAATTCTGAGAAATAAAGTCGCAATTTTGAGATGTAAACTCAATTCTGAGAAATAAAGTCGCAATTCTGAGAAATAAAGTCACAATTTTGAGATATAAACTCGCAATTCTGAGAAATAAAGTCGCAATTCTGAGAAATAAAGTCGCAATTCTGAGAAATAAAGTTGCAATTCTGACATATAAACTCGCAATTCTGAAAAATAAACTCGCAATTCTGAGAAATAAAGTTGCAATTCTGAGAAATAAAGTCGCAATTCTGAGATATAAACTCGCAATTCTGAGAAATAAAGTCGCAATTCTGAGAAATAAAGTCGCAATGCTGAGAAATAAAGTCGTAATTCTGAGAAATAAAGTCGCAATTTTGAGATGTAAACTCAATTCTGAGAAATAAAATTTGCAATTCTGAGAAATAAAGTCACAATTTTGAGAAATAAAGTCGTAATTCTGAGAAATAAAGTCGCAATTTTGAGATGTAAACTCAATTCTGAGAAATAAAGTCGCAATTCTGAGAAATAAAGTCGCAATTCTGAGATATAAACTCGTAATTCTGAGAAATAAAGTCGCAATTCTGAGAAATAGTCACAATTTTGAGATGTAAACTCAATTCTGAGAAATAAAGTCGCAATTCTGAGAAATAATGTCACAATTTTGAGATGCAAACTCAATTCTGAGAAATAGTCTTAATTCTAAGAAATAAAGTCGCAATTGCAAGATATAAACTCACAATTCTATTTTATGATATAGGCATATACTGTATATGGAAGCTTGTTTCCGCCACTGAATTAAAAAAATAATTGCGACTTTTTATCTCACAATTTCGAGATATGAAGTCAGAATTGTGAGAAATAAAGTCGCAATTGCGAGATATAAAGTCGAAATTCTGAGAAATAAAGTCACAATTCTGAGAAATAGTCACAATTTTGAGATGCAAACTCAATTCTGAGAAATAAAGTTGCAATTGTGAGATATAAACTCGCAATTCTGAGAAATAAAGTCGCAATTGTGAGATATAAAGTCGCAATTGTGAGATATAAAGTCGCAATTCTGAATCTAAGCTGTTGATACGGACAGTAACGATGGCGTGTTTTACCGTATCAATCTCATCACAGTGGATTTGCTCTGTCAGCAGAAAACAGCGTCTTCTCAACACGAACCAAACTCTTCCAGTCTCAGATACACTAGTGTTTGAGGGCGGAGCTAAGAGACGCTGTTCAGCCAATCAAGACCAGAGGCTGGCATTATGCTAATTAGTTCCAAACCTGCGCAGGTTCGGCAGGAAGTGAGACTGAATTACTGACGACTCTTTTAGGAGACAAACACTCCATTTATAATGAAATACCTATGATGCACTGTGAACACAGTCCAGGCTTTGTTGTCTAAAAGCTAAATGCTTGATGCATAAATGCAAAATGTAAACGTCAGATCTCTAATTGACTAAAATGAAGAGAAGAGAGAGATCCTGTCGTTTTAAACAACACCATCATTCCCAGTCAATTACTGACAAATCTTTGTAAACACTCCAGGTTATTTATAACTATGAAGAGCAGTCGGCATGTTTTCCAATCATTTCAAACACTTTCATTTCCTAGCCTGCGGAAACATTGAACATGTGTTTACAGTAATTTCAGCTGGTATTATAGTTTATTTTTAGCTGTTCATGAAGCAAGTTAAAGATGTACACTCTCAGGTCAGTTAGAAATGAATACTTTACGTTTCAACAACAAAAACAAAACAAAAAAAATATGAGTTTCCACAAAAATATGAAGCTGTTTTCAACATTGATAATAATCAGAAATTACACTACAGTAATGATGCTGAAAATTCAGCTTTGATCACAGGAATAAATTACACTTCACTATATATTCACATAGAAAACAGCTATTTTAAATTATAATAATATTTCACAATATTGACGATTTTACTGTATTTTTAGTCAAATAAATGCAGAAGGGGCGTCTTTAATAAGCATTAAGAAAATCTTACTGACCTCAACATTGTGAACACTATAGTGTAACTTGACAAAAGCGAGTTGTTTTACACTAATGTTCAAGTGTATTACTGTCAAAACATTGATAGCTGCATATCTTAAACATTTATTAGCGGTGAATTGCCGTTCCTTGTAAGTGCATTACCGTAAACGCATTTCCCATTGGTTTTTACACACACACATGCTGCCCACAGATATTAAATAGATTTAAATAACCTGGAATATTGATGAAGTGATAAAGTAAGAAAAGCAAATGTAATCTCCCAAATCCAGCCCTGGTTGGTCCTCGCCAACATGAACAATCTGGAACGGTTAATGCAGTGAAACTCAATCGCAGCTCCTTCATTCCTGGATTTAGGGATGAGTGTGTATCCCAGCGCTTGAATAATGATATAAGTGATGAAAGCTCAAATCTGCATTTAGATGGATTCGATTCACCCTCCGCCGGTTTCACTTTGTGCAAAAACCAAGCAATTTCCTTAACTCGTTAGCGTACGTGTGAATTTCACCGAAACATGTCGGATTCACCACGAAATAAAAGAAAATTAAACCCGTTTCCTCCCTAAATTATCATTGCCATGATGTTTACGATCTTTTTTTTTACAGTATTAGTGTCTTATCTTAGTACAATTTTTTTTTATTTAGCCTACATGATTAAAGGCAACAAAACAAATACTACAAAGATGTAAATGCCATTATTATATCTTCATCATTTTATTATTCATTAAATGTAATTGCATTTGATTGCATAATAAATACATTTAAATTTAAACAAATACACAATACAAATATTTTTTTATTAATTTCAGAATAATCGTTTTTTTATAAATTCATTTTAAAATATATATTTTTAGTTTTATTAGTAATGTCATATATTAGTATATTAGACATTACATATCAATATGTTTTTTTTAAGTGTAAATAAGTAAAATGAAGGCATACAACCATGACTTAGTCTATACTTAATTACATTTAGATTATTTAATCATTATCTCATTAAGAATTTGAGTGAATATATATATATATATATATATTAGGGCTGTGCAAAAGTTAATTGCGATTAATCACATCCAAAATAAAAGTCTGTGTTTACATAATATATTTGTGTGTGCTGTATATAATTATGTTGTATATATAAATACACACACATGCATGTATATATTTAAGAAAATGTGTTATTCATATATCAAATATTTATATTTTTATAATATAGATTATGTATTTATATATATATACAGAATTTAAGCGCAAATAATTCTTAAATATATACATGCATGCATAGGTATTTATATATACAAAATAATTATCTACAGCACACACAAATATATTATGTAAACACAGACTTTTATTTTGGATGCGATTAATCGCAATTAACTTTTGCACAGCCCTAATATATATATAAAATATGGACAAAATATAAAAATACTGTATATGTATATAGAATATATATTTGAGAATTTGAGTGAGTGAATATATATATATATATATATATATAGACCAAATCCCACATATATTCAGTATATACAGTATATTTGTATTTTTATATTTTGGGGTGAAAGAAGAGCTGGACATGCTGTTGACAAGTTTCCCCCATATATCAAACATGAGAATACAGCCCATAATCACATTTACACACTTCCCAAAATCAATCTCACCAGTGGCTTTCATAATTAAGATTCCATCAGACACACACACACACACACACACGCTCCCAGCGGGGGGTTACAGATTAATGCATTAACTGAATAACCTTTCCCAGCTCCACACACAAATAAACACAGCAGCACCTGCAGTAGTTTACACCTCTCAGCCCCCATCATCCGTAACCATGGCGACCGCTGCTCGGTTACCAGGAGCGACGAGAGGACGGCGCTCGCTCGGCTCGATACGCTAAATCTGATTCATTCGCCAGCCGTCCAAACGTTCAGCTGTAGCAACACACACACACACACAAACACACACACACACACACACACACACTGCTGATCCGCTGCCCACCTCCACTACAGGACCCGTGCGGGACCATCATCATCATCAGGTCCAAAACTCTGTTACATTGACTGAAATAAAGCTTAAATATTACAGGAAAAACTTGCCTTGGCAGCAAACTGAAGTAAAGGTATTAAAATACATTAAACAAGTTTAACGTGAAATGCTAAAATGACTAAAACTGAAATGAATAGAAATTAAAGCTAAATAAAAATATTAAAAACCTAATAATAATAATTTAGAAAATCTACATAAAATTGACTAAAATTTAACTTACTATAATAGAATTAAAGATAACAGAAATATTTTTTTTAATTGAAACGTACTATAATATTATTATTAAGTTAAACAGAAATATCAAAAAAGAAAGAAATAAACTAAAAATTAAAGGTAATTAAACTGAAGTAAACTTACATGAAAAAAGTGACTAAAACTGAAATAAATAGAAATTAAAAGTGACTAAAACTGAAATAAATAGAAATTAAAACGAAATAAAAATATTTAAAAAACTATAATAGTATTAAAGTCAGAAATATAAAAAGCATGTAAAAAAATGACTAAAATTTAAATGAAAACTGAAAATATACAAAAAAGGTATCAATAAACACTAAAATAGTTTTAAAATATAAATATAAAAAAACTAATTAAAATGACACGTATGATATTAAATATTATATTAATATTATATTGTGTTCGGTTGAAAGAACAAAGTCCTGTACACTAGTATGGCTTGAGCGTGAGTAAATCATGGGAGAATTTTCATTTTTTGCCTTGCTGGCAAGAACCTCCAATAAAAACTGCACAATATTTGCCTTTTCTGTGCATTTTTACACTTATTTTGGAACGTGTTCATTTTATTGCATAGGTTTATCACTTTAAATCAGTAGTTTTTACATTTAACTCGCAGGGTAACACTCTTAGTAAATAGCAGCCAGCTCCTCTCGTGTCTCCTGAGGTCGGATCTAAAGAGGGCCGGTCTCAATTCACAGGGTCGTAAATCGCCCTGGCAGGAGGGAGTGATTTCCCATCATCCTTCAGAACGGCCACCCATTGCTAAAGAGCCTAGCGAAAGTGAAGCTGCCAGTGAAAACATTTGGCCTATGAAGCATTTTGTGTTTGTTCACACACACACACACACAGACAGATCTGGTTAAGACTTTGGCTGAAGTGACGGCTGGGTTATGTGTGCTCAGGCCATATATATATATATATATATATATTCAGCACAAGCACAAATAATCTGTGCTGTTAAAAACCAAAGTCAGATGCCTTCATCAGCCATATTTGTAGGCATCAATGAATTAAAAAATTTGTATGAATTAAAAGTCCTCCCAGTTTTAATGTAGTTTGTGTGTTTATGTGGTGTTTTAAATAGTTCTGATGTCACATATGACCTTGTAACCAATCAGATCAACGTGTGATCGTCAACCAGTGGATCTCTGAGTGAGTGAGAGGAGGCGGGGCTCATTTGCGTATTCATAGAACTGCGTATACTAAATGAGGCAAGGGTGTTGAGTTATATTCAAGATATTTTAAGGCATGAAACATTTTTTTTTTTCAAGAACACATTTAAATGTGTCATTTTGGAGTTTTGAGGAATGAAATTATTGAATACGGGAGGACTTTAAGAATTTTTATTTGTAAATGTACGCATTTTCAAACGTATATATAAAAATTGATATATAAAAATTTGGATTTAGATTCATCGGACAATATATTAATTATCGGCATTCAAATATAAAGATTTATCGTTATCGGTATCAGCCGGATATATGTTAATGTTTATATAAATTATATAAATATTATATAATATAATATAAATTACATATACAAATTTGGATTTAGATTTATCAGATAATATATATCGGTTATCGGCTTTCAAATATAAAGAATTATCGGTTATCGGTATATGTTAATGTTTATATAAATGATATAAATATTATATAATATAATATAAATTACATACACAAATTTGGATTTAGATTTATCAGACAATATATATCGGTTATCGGCTTTCAAATATAAAGAATTATCGGTTATCGGTATAAGCAGATATATGTTAATGTTTATATAAATGATATAAATATTATATAATATAATATAAATTACATACACAAATTTGGATTTAGATTTATCAGACAATATATATCGGTTATCGGCTTTCAAATATAAAGAATTATCGGTTATCGGTATAAGCAGATATATTTTAATGTTTATATAAATTATATAAATATTATATAATATAATATAAATTACATACACAAATTTGGATTTAGATTTATCAGACAATATATATCGGTTATCGGCTTTCAAATATAAAGAATTATCGGTTATCGGTATCGACCAAAATTTTCATATCGGTGTATCCCTAGAAAAAAGAAAGTCTGACAGGTTCATGACTGGTGCATCTGTTGACGCCATGTCATGTTGCTTTTTAATGCGAGAACATGTCCTGTGTGATCGGTTCGATTTTGGCTAGAATGTTTTTGAGAGAGAAAGAGTGAACCAGAACTCACCACAGCCCGCTGAAAACACCAGCAGAACCGACAGAACCTGCAGCCCACCAGCGCTCGCACGCAACATCCTGAGATACAGAGAGAACAAACACAGAGAAGAGGACAGTGAGAAATATAGCTGCGAGCAGTGATGTCGGGCCCTAATAATAAATAATCCTTAAGAAAACAAGGATTGGAGAGGGGGGATTCTGAAGTGATCATATGATTGACACATTCTGGTAGGTCACATGATCATGACAACATGGCAAATGTAGTTTTTCCAGATTACATTCAAACTACACACATTTATATTATATACTTTTTTTAGCGGTTGTGATGTAATTACTTATTGAAAATACAGTAAGTACCTTCTCAAGGGAGTATATAATTTCGGACGCAGCCCTTGTCTTGCATACTAGTTCACTGTATTAGACACATCAACATGAAATGTTTGATTTTGTCTGTTAAAATGTCTCTCCACCCTTCCTCTAACACAAAGAACAATACTTAAATACACTGCCAATCAAACAAACCCTGACCTTCCCTTCACGCACATGCACAGTAAAATAGTATAATGCACTAATATTTGAAAAATATACAAGACAAACACTACAGTCAGTGTAGTCATCACACACACACACAGCATGCGGATGGGAAATGACAAACAGAGGTTTATTAGACAGACTGTGTGTCCTTTATGAAGGAGATGAGAATATGAATATTAATGCGGTGGCTGAGTGCTGGTAAGGAACGGGTTTTTTTTTTGTAACCCAGCACTAGCCACCCATCAGACACCAACAAAACACTCTCAGAATAGTAATCAGCAGCCTTATCCTTTCATTGTTTTACTGAACTTCTCCTCTCTCCCTCTCTCTCTCTCTGTGGGTGGTCTGTCTTTTAGTATCCTTCACGCCGTCTCTAATCCTGCTCAGACAGGAAATGTCTGGCTTCTGTAAAATTGCTCTGTAGTCCGTCTCTTTTAAGTGTAATGAAACACGGATACACACATTAATACTCGTCTCCCACACAGCAGCATAAACCAGCTACAGCCTAGTAGCTACAAAGAACACCACAGTAAATGCTTAGCAACACCCTAACGACCACTCAAAACACCCAAATAACCACCTAACACTGTCAAGTTCCTATTATCTCCTTAGCAACCAACTATAACATCTCGTCAACCACCCAGCAAATGCCCTAACGACCCAGAACCCTTAGTAACTGCTTAGCAACACCCTAGAGATCACACAGAACCCCTAACAATCCTCTAGCAATGCACTAGTAACCACCTAGAGGTAACTGCTGATCAACGCTTAGAACCCTCAATGACCACTTAGCAATACTCAAATATCCCAAGAAGACCCTCGTACCCTAGCAACCAACCAGAGCCCCCTATATATCCCATAACGAATCACTAGTAACCATCCAGAACCCCTATTAACTTTTGACCACACAGACCCCCCTAGTAACTGCTTATCAACAACCCTAGAGATCATAGTAACATAGTAACTTCCAACCCGAGAGATTCCACAGTAACTAAGCAACTCCCCAGAAAACATTTAAAAATCCTAACCCTAACCCTAACCCTCAACACCCTAGCGACCACCGAGAACCCCTAGTAACTGCTAATCAACACCCTAGTGACCAACCAAGAACCCCCTAGTAACTGCTAATAAACACCCTAGCGACCACCAAGAACCCCCTAGTAACTGCTAATAAACACCCTAGTGACCAACCAGAACCCCATAACAACCACCTAGCAATGTTCTAATGACCACCCAGAACCCTCTTGTAGCCACTTATCAACAACCCTAGTTGCCACCCAGAACACCTGCTAAGCAACACCCTAGCAACCACCAAGAACCCTCTAGTAACTGCTAATAAACACACTAGCGACCAACAAGAACCCCATAACAACCACCTAGCAATGTCCCAATGACCACCCAGAACCCTCTTGAAGCCACTTTTCAACAACCCTAGTTGCCACCCAGAACACCTGCTAAGCAACACCCTAGCAACCACCAAGAAGCCCCTAGTAACTGCTAATAAACACCCTATTGCGACCAACCAGAACCCCATAACAACCACCTAGCAATGTCCTAATGACCACCAAGAACCCTCTTGTAGCCACTTATCAACAACCCTAGTTGCCCCCCAGAACACCTGCTAAGCAACACCCTAGCAACCACCAAGAACCCCCTAGTAACTGCTAATAAACACCATAGCGACCAACCAGAACCCCATAACAACCACCTAGCAATGTCCTAATGACCACCCAGAACCCTCTTGTAGCCACCTATCAACAACCCTAGTTGCCACCCAGAACACCTGCTAAGCAACACCCTAGCAACCACCAAGAACCCCCTAGTAACTGCTAATAAACACCCTAGCGACCAACCAGAACCCCATAAGAACCACCTAGCAATGTCCTAATGACCACCCAGAACCCTCTTGTAGCCACTTATCAACAACCCTAGTTGCCACCCAGAACACCTGCTAAGCAACACCCTAGCAACCACCAAGAACCCCCTAGTAACTGCTAATAAACACCCTAGTGACCAACCAGAACCCCATAACAACCACCTAGCAATGTCCTAATGACCACCCAGAACCCTCTTGTAGTCACTTATCAACAACCGTAGTTGCCACCCAGAACACCTGCTAAGCAACACCCTAGCAACCACCAAGAACCCCCAAGTAACTGCTAATAAACACCCTAGCGACCAACCAGAACCCCATAACAACCACCTAGCAATGTCCTAATGACCACCCAGAACCCTCTTGTAGTCACTTATCAACAACCCTAGTTGCCACCCAGAACACCTGCTAAGCAACACCCTAGCAACCACCAAGAACCCCCCAGTAACTGCTAATAAACACCCTAGCGACCAACCAGAACCCCATAACAACCACCTAGCAATGTCCTAATGACCACCCAAAACCCTCTTGTAGCCACTTATCAACAACCCTAGTTGCCACCCAGAACACCTAAGCAACACCCTAGCAACCACCAAGAACCCCCTAGTAACTGCTAATAAACACCCTAGTGACCAACCAGAACCCCATAACAACCACCTAGCAATGTCCTAATGACCACCCAGAACCCTCTTGTAGCCACTTATCAAGAACCCTAGTTGCCACCCAGAACACCTGCTAAGCAACACCCTAGCAACCACCAAGAACCCCCTATTAACTGCTAATAAACACCCTAGCGACCAACTAGAACCCCATAACAACCATCTAGCAATATTCTAATGACCACCCAGAACCGTCTTGTAGCCACTTATCAAAAACCCTAGTTGCCACCCAGAACACCTGCTAAGCAACACCCTAGCAACCACCAAGAACCCCCCAGTAACTGCTAATAAACACCCTAGCGACCAACCAGAACCCCATAAGAACCACCTAGCAATGTCCTAATGACCACCCAGAACCCTCTTGTAGTCACTAATCAACAACCCTAGTTGCCACCCAGAACACCTGCTAAGCAACACCCTAGCAACCACCCAAAATATCCAAACCAATGAATTAGCAAAGTAAAGCTGTCTGGCTCACTCAACATCATGGAGTTATAACGTCTGAGCACGAGGAGGCCTCAGCAGGTTCACGAGTGTGTGAATCTGGTGTCAGTGTGAAGTGGTCGCATGCGGCGAGGACTCGCTCCCTGATCTCTCCCAGCTGGTACCAGCATCCCGACACTGTGCCAACAGCTCACACACACACTCTGCCAACAGCACCTCCACAGGGAAACATGGCGAGAGAGAGAGAGAGAATATGTGCCAGCTCATGCCTACAGAATCCACCCAGCATTTAAGAGCCAAACACAACCAGATAGAGAGAAAGACGCAAATAAAAGAGGGATTGAAGACTTATTTACAGGCATGGGAAGGTCGTGCACCAGCTCAGCTTGAGCATTGAAACGTCAGATGAGTTTCTGAGCGAGTGAACAGCTATTCTCCTGACTGTAAACTCAGACTCGCTGCAGCTCCAGGCGTTTAGCATTTCAATTCCTGAAAGATTCAGCAGCGTTTTTGTCTGAGGTGATTTAGCTCGCATCGGTTAGCTGTGCCATTTACTGCGGTAACTAGAGACACAGCCGAGGACGATTCAAGAGCGCCACTTTAACCAATAACTTTATTCTGTAAAGCATAAACCAGAACTTTCCTATCATCGCCGTAAAGCTGCTTTGAAACAATCTATACTGTTGAAAGCGCTATATAAATTCAGCTGACTTGAGCAATACTGATACTGGAACTGCAGCATTTATGATAAGCTGTGTGTTTATGGGACGTATCAAAGCCTGTGGTTTACTGAGCGTTTAAAACAGCCAGCACACGGGTTTCTTATCAGCCCGCCTGGAAATAAACCTGTGTTTACAAAGACGATACAGCAAAGAAGAACTAGCACTGGGTTTCCAGTCTTTTTCATTTAAAGCTGCAGTGCGCAAGTTATTTAAGGTAGCCCTCAAACCGTATTCACTTTATAGCCCTTAATCCTGTAATTGTGGACAAATGTGGGCACAGAGGACTCCTAATTTTTATTTATTATAAATGTTATATCACTGTCTTCGATAAAGTTTTTTACCTTGTACTTTGGGATTTTGAGATACCCGAGCTATGAAAAAGCAACATCTGAGCAAAAAAGAAAAAGAAAAAGATAAACACATCTGATTGACAGCTTGCAAAGCAAGTTATATGTCAGACTAACAAATATTCCAGTGATATTTAGTTTGAAATGTCAGTTGAGTCACTTTATGTGATTATAAATGCAATGAGAGTTTTTTGTTTTGTTTTTTGAGCCGTCTTCATCGGCATCTTATGAAGAAGAACGAAAAGGAACTTTAAAAATGAAAATCAATATAATGTGACATTTTAAATAGAGTATAACAAACAAAATTCACTGTGACTTTTAGTTTTAACATTTAGATTGCAACCTTCATGATCTAGAAAACTGTGGAAAGCGATATGAAAGTCACATAAATAGTTTGATGAAACAATGCTGCTGTTTGATCATGAAAAAGCTCTTCTCTATATCAGTGTCAGTGTTTCTGAACTCCTGAAACGCCTCCATTGTAGTCTTGAGTTTCTCC